CATTTCCATGACTTTCCAAGATATATTTCCCCTTGATTTTCCATGATCGTGCGAATCCTGTACAATTTCTTGAGAAATCTACCGACAAATTTACATGTACCACAACAGTTCAAGCTTTCACTTTCCATTTTGTGAGATGTTTGCCCCGGTATACGAGTACCTTGTATCTTGCAGCAGTTTGTATTTGTGATTGCGTTTCTCCAGTTGGTTCTGTATTCTCTCTGTGGTTGCCTGTAGCTTGCCGTTGGCTTGGAGCAATTCATCCACCGTCTTGCCAAGTTTGCTCTTTTCGGCCAAGGCTCTGTCCAGGTCCGACCGCAGGCCGTCCAACTGCAACATTAGCATCAGTAGAGCAAAATAAATTTGCCTGGGGTGAGATTTGAACCAAGGACCTCTGGATTTCTTTACCAGTGCTCTACCCACTGAGCTTTCCAGAACTGAAGTGTTGGTCCCTCAAGTTTTTTGAGAGTGGTTTTTTGAGGTGAATGCCACAAGCCATGTGCACATGTTCCGGTCCACTGATCACAGGTAACATCATGATGCTTGCAACATACACACTACTGCACAGCCAATTGCCGAGGTTACTTCCTCTTTTGGATGAACTGAATGAAATGAACCATTAAGCAAGTGCGTTCCACTACCAGTGAACATCAACAGCTTCCCTGTGGTTGATCTGATGCAGAGTTTTAATGCAAGTCCATCACTTGAGAAGTCAACATTCATTCCAAGGTGTATTTTTTCTGTGTGTGTTGGAGAAATTTTAATTTCTAACAATGAGTTTTGCCCAATACACCCGAGTAAGCTTGTGACTTTTTTGCATGCTCTTGGACAAACACTGAGCAAACAGTGTTATGAAATACATGTATATGACGGCATAAGAGCCAAACCCAGTATTGATAATTAAATCCAAATTCAGTTGATAGTGCAATCATACATGTACAATGACACTAATTGGAATGCCTTTGATTTGTCACATTTCACTGCTATTTAATTCGTAAAGTACTAACGAGGACTTGGGAAGTCTTGAGACTTACTACATGCTACAGGTTTGACTACAGCACCAATTTGAACCAACCAACCCACCAATCAAACAAAGGGGTGACAGCAACTAAATTGAGATATTTGAGAGAAATGAGATTTTGTCATTGGTGGACTTTCACAAAATTCTTGAGAGCAAACATATCATGAGGTCCCACTGCATGCAACTTTTCAAAGGGGTTGAGATTGGGAGGTGAAAGAGATCTGCCAAAATCCTGCAGAGGATTTGTAATGATTACAGCAAAACTGCTGGAATTTTTCTGGGCACTCAAAAGCAAAGAAGGTACAAACAGTAGCAAAGCATGAATGATTGAACCTCCAAAAATTTGAAAATTAGGTAAAAAATCCTGAGAAATCACAAAAAGTCGAGACGCTTTGTGCAGTGCAAAACACAAATCAACTGAGAGCTCAATAAAAGATATCAGCCGACATTCTGCTTGGTAGATATTTTGTTGCCGGGTGAAAATCTATCTTTGCTTGACTGTTCTTACTTGGGTCCCTTCCAGTGTTTCTACGGTAACCAGCTTTTCCGTCAACTTCTGCACCTCCCTTTGTAGTGATTCCATTGTCTTCTGCCTGCTTTGCCTGCAACACAGACAATAAACTAGACAAAACATTACAGTGCCAGAAAGGATTTCAACCATGGTCTCACCGGTACATCCAACATTCTGCATCATTCACCTCCATCCAAACTACAGGTATACCAGATGTGTTGGGTCAACTGAGCAAAAAGCTCATGAATGTAGAGTAAGGAATCTTATTACCTCCAAGACCAGTCCTACAGTAAATCCATTTGTACTTATAATTTCTTTTCAGAGATTTAAGAATACAGCAATCTTCAGCTACTGCACACACAAATCTCAGGAGCCAAATGTTCAGTGTAGCAATGTTCATTATGGCTGCACTGTTTTGGCAAAACCCTGACCATACCTTCAGGATCACGCATCTATCACCCCCTCCCTTTCAGTTGTGCATAATGAAAGCGCTATACACCTCCATGGCAATCTGTACACTGTTCCTACTCAAGAGAACCCCCTGACCACACCTTCAGGACCCCGCCCTCTCACATGCCCCTTCCTTTTCTCCTATCACACCCCTATCACCCTCGCTTGGGTTCTGCTTGATGACAGCTCTGTATCAAGGCAACCTACTTCAGCCTATTCACTCTCCATGGCGATCTGTATCTACTGGAACCAGCTTTAAGAGACCCATCCTCTCGTATGCCCCCCCCTTTTCACCTCTCAGTCCTGAGCGATGACAGCTCACTGTCCTTACGGCCCAGTTCCACCTGCAAACTCTCCACCGCAGTCTGCAGCTGTGTGTGTGATGCCATGACTCCCTCTAAGGTAGCGGCGATCTTAGACTGATCGGTCTTTGCATCCGCGAGGCTTCTTTGGAAACTTGCAGCCTAAAGAGACGAGACCAAAATGTTGTGGTTGAATTAACCCCTTGACGACGGGAATTTCTTTCTGAAAGCCGACTCCAAGAATTCCAGCCTCGCTTGGCCACGAAGGCCCCCTGCCAAACTGCAAATTCTCGGTTTGTGGACCTGCATGCTCTGCACGCTTTGAATTACACAGTGAAAAGGCTGATTGTTCGGTGGCATGTGGCTTTACTCACGCTTCCACATTCCCGTTGCCTCTTTTCAAAGTGGGGACTATTGTGAAGCTGGTGATTATGATGCAAATTTGGTCTTTTCATTTCTGGGCTACACACTAAGGCCAATCACCATATATACAAGAGCCAGGGTCTGCCTTCTTTCACCGTGTTCGCTCAAACGTGGGCCGGGAATAATAGCTGAAAAGCAGGGTGAGGATCTCAATTTTTACAGCGGCTCTAGCTGCGTCCTGGTGTGAAGGGGTTAAAAGCAAGCTACATGTATGTTATCTGCAAACCATTTACCGTTATTAGTAGTACAATTATTAGTACTGACAGATTTCACTTTCGTTAACATGTACCCTCGTTTTGAAGACGTTCGGTAGCATTCAGGTTTGACAACACACTACACAATGGCAGAAAAGCCCTTCTCACAATTTGATAACAGTATCATAATGACCATTAGGGTGAAAAAAAAAGACATGTTGATTACCGGGAGCTGGTTGTGTTATTTTGTGAGTGAAGGACTGTTCAAGCGTACATGTACGTACATGTAAGTGGGAGACCATGTAATTAGCCTCAATGTACATGTACATCCATACATGTACATGTACATGGTGATAGTTTGGTGGGGGGGGGGCACTGAATTCCGCGCCCAAACTAAAAGTGTCAATGACAAGCTATCCTTTGTTGGATGTCAAATTGCAAAAGCCCATTCATCTCCAATACTTCCCTGACGTTTCTCTGAAACATAAACAGTACATCACACGCTATAAAGCCACAGGATGCACTATGTAAATTGTAATGTGCACAGGGAACCGGAAAGGAAACAGTAACACAAAAATAGTCCAACAATTCATCTGCTTCCTCTGCAACAGGAAACTGAGTAAAGAAGGGCTTCAAGCAGAAGCAGGGTATTTCACCCACCTGCCCAAATATAACCAAACTCATGATGCAATAATAGCATTTACTCAAAAAAATGATGTTAAACACTATTGTTAAATGCTGTATAGAGTTCATGATTGAGTCTGTCTAACCTTTTGTTTCTCCCTGTCGTCCATGACCTGGAGTTGGCCTTTTAACCTTTCACACTCCTGAAACGCTTCATCTCTGGCCTGAATGGCTAGGGTGAAATCTTTCTCTTTCCTGCTAGACAGCTCCTGCTCCTGTTACGCAAAAAAAAAAAAAATGGGGAATGGCCCAAGTCTTCATTTCTTTTCAAAGTTTAAAGCCCATGGAATACAAACAATAAATGTTTAGCATTCATGCAAGAAAAAGAGATCTTTCATTTCGTGGTTTTGTTTGGTGAATGACGGGATGTTCCATTCCATTTTTTCCTCCAGGGTAAGCATTACATGAGTTGAGAAATTTCTCCATCCGTGAGGAAAAGCAGTGCTATGAGCTTCATCATTATCAACTATTTTGTAGAAGCGTGCACTTCAGCACAATCAATGCTGTGCCCCAAGCAATTCCAACTTACTACTGAACAGGCACGGCAGATCAGAATTCCTATTTCAGTGGTTCAGCAATGCCAGATAATTCCTGACATGTGTTCGATAATCCACCAATCCTATGACAGGGACAGTTCAGGTGCTGTTTACTAAGGATAGAATATAAAGTAAGTCCAGTAAGTCTGAAAAGGCCTTCTAGAATGTTCTTAAATTACAAAAACTCTCTGGGTCACAACCATGACGAA